TCATCAACCCTTACATCCCTTGTAATTACTATCTTCTTGGACTTAGGAATGTAAACTCTGTAACCCTTTGATTGATTGTTGTACCCTATAAAGATTCCTACTTCAGCTTTGTCATCCAACTTTGTTCTCTTGTTTGCTGGAACCATGACATAGCAAATACTCCCAAATATTCTCAGTTGCTCACTGTTGGTTTTACTCCACTCCAGGCCTCAATTGGAGTTTGATTCTTGACTACTTTAGTTGGGAGTCTGTTCAGTATATAAACCCCTGTATTAACAACTTCAGCCCAAAACATCTTGGGAAGCTTCTTCTCAACAATCATGCATCTTACCATATTCATGATTGTTCTGTTTCTCCTTTCACTGACCCTGTTTTGCTGTGGGGTATAAGGAGTGGTAAACTAATGTAAAATCCCAGTTTCTTTGCAAATTGAGCTAAACTCACTTGATGTATATTATGTCCCATTGTCACTCCTTATGGCTTTGATCTTTGACCCTACTTAATTCTCCACCAGGAGCTTGAATTTTCTAAACACAGCAGCCACTTCACTCTGCTGCTTTTAGAAGTACACCCAAGCCATACAAGAGAAATCATCAATAAACAGCATAAAATATTTACTTCCATTCAGAGATTCAGTCTTCATGGGACCACACACATCAGTGTGGATCAGTTGTAGTTTATCACTTACTCTTCAGGCCTGATCTTATGGAAAAGGTGGCCTACTGAGTTTACTAAGCTGGCAGACTATGCAAAGGTTCTTCTTCTCTTCAATTTCATGTAGGTTTAGGACCATATCTTTACTTTTGAGTTCTTTAAGGCTTATGTAGTGGAAATGGCCAAGCCTTTTGTGCCAAAGCTCGGACTCTTTTGGCCTACTAGTTAGTGCAAAGATTTCTGATTTTTTCCGCTCAACCGAGAAGCTCTTTCCCAACATCTTCACACTCATCAACTCATTTCCTTCACTATCTAATATAACACATGATTAGTTTTGAAAATGCAGGGAATAATCCTTTTCTAGCATTTGTCCAACACTTAATAAATTCTGAGTGATTTCGGGTACATACAAAACATTTGAAATAACTTTGGTACCTGATTGTGTTAGGACAGCAACATCACCAATTCCCTTGGCCTCCACATAGTCTCCATTCCCAATTTTGACTCTGGAGTTGTATGACTTATCCAGCTTGATGAAATTCTGCAAATCTACTGCCATGTGGTTGGTGCAGCCACTATCTATCAGCTACACCTCATTGCTGGCCTGAGTTATGTAACAAGAAGCCACAAACAGTTGTTCAGACTCATGGCCTTGTTGTTGATCTTCTACGGCTTGAGCTTGTTGTGGTGGCTGAGTTCTTGCACACCTTCTCAATGTGGCCAAATTGTTTGTAGGCCCTACATTGAATTCCAAGCCTAAACTAGCACCTGTTCTCTAAGTGACTCTTTTTCTTGCAGTGGGGAAATGGTGGATAGCCTCTTGTTCCACTTGATTTTCCCCACTGACCACGGTCTTTTCTTTCCCTTTCTTATCTCCGGCATACCTTTTATTATTCTCTTGCATAATCTTACCTCTTTGAGTTGCCATCATAGCACCTTCATTAGCATCCTTCTACCTCATTAATCTTCTTTGTTCTTGAGCTTGTAATGCATGGACGAACTCAGTAAGTGTGATCTAAGACAGGTCCTTGGAGTCCTCTGGGGAGGAGATCTTTGACTCAAACCTCTTGGGCAAGCTCACTAGCACTTTCTCAACGATCATCTTGTTAGTCATTTCCAATGCAAGTAGCCTGACCTTATTAACCATACTCATCAGTCTATCCACATATTCTTTTACCTTCTCAACTTCCTACATTCTCAACATCTCAAAGTCCCTTCTCAAATTCATCACTTGCATATTTCTCATTGTATCACTTCCCATAAACTCCTCTTATCACATGTTTTTTTTTGCTATTTCACATGCCATTATCCTTGTAAACACAAGGTCTGTAACAGCCGAATGAATGTGGGATAAAGCCCTTGGAGCCTTTGATATTTCCCCTTCGTGCAACCTTATTTGATTCAAAGTGTGATTTGGACCTAGCTGAGAAGGATGTTTCTCTCCTTCAACATATTGCCAGAGCCCCTGCCCTCTTAGATAGGCCTTCATCTTGACAACCCAAATGTGATATTGCTCACCATTGAAGACAGGGATGAAAGGGAGGTTGATTGAGATTTCATAGATGCAGGTTTTGAGACTTGGGACAGAACTGCTCTTGAAGAAAGATGGAGGGTGACTAAGCTTGAAGATCAGTGTTTTGATTTATCTAGAGGTCTGGTGAAATGGCTCTGATACCATTTGTTGGTTTTAATGCCAGATTATACAAAGAAAGAAAAGAATCCGGAGAGAACCGGCATATTTCATTAAACATCATGGGATAACTTATACAAAATATTTTACTTACAGTCTACTGTTACAACCACTCTATCAAGGACCCTTTTACATGATTAAAACTAACCCACACAATATAAACTAATACATTACAATTAAGCAACATAAAGCCATATTTCTAGTTGCAACTACCTAATTACATCACAACAAAACATTATCTAGCTACCCCTAAACTAACTTCTTCCAGCACAGCAAACTAAACTTCCTTGGAGCCGAAAAACATCTTCAAACTACCAAACCTTGAATATTGTATTTCCAGTAAAATATCATAACTTCATCAAAGGATATACTTTGCTTTATTATATGAGCTAGAGAATAGATATGATGCCTAGGGTGATCTAGTTCTGGTACCCTAAAATTTTTGGAGAAACCAAAACCGGTCAGTTCCAGTTCCTAAATAGGTGGAACTGAACCTGTGAAACAGGTTCTGGTTCCAATTCTGGGTACCTGAGACAGTTACAAACAGTCCCTATTAGTTTAAAAAATAACAAAAACACCTTTGAAATTTACAAATACACCCACATTTGTTTACACAAATACAAACAAAGAAAAGTAAAGGGCACAAAGGACACAACAGCAAAACCAAGACATTCCCTAGAACAACAACTGAACAAAAAGATCAAAGCAAGAACATGCAGATCACACCAGGAAGAAACCAAAGTTTGCATGTTCCAAGCAAGAGGCAACCACAAAACAATACAAAACCTGCCACAAATCAACCTCATCCCACCAATCCCACATCTCGCCAAATATACCACCCGAGTACCTGGCCAGCAAAACAAGAACACCTCACCCAAAAGCCTGGCCAACCGCAACAACAATCACACAGATCAAGGCACACACCATCAACCCCATATCTCTCAAACACACCACCATGCACCCTTCCACAAATCAACCTCATCCTAGCCCAAACTCGACTTCCAACCTAGCCCCCAGCAGCAGATAACGGCAAACTTGAGGAGAAGACGAGAGAAGAGTGAAGAGTGAAGATAGAAGATAACGGCAAACTGAAGACGAAGTTTGACGGAAGAAAAGAGAAGACGAAGTTGGGCACCCAATTCGATTTTCCCAAATGTTAATCGAATTGGGGATTTTGATTTGTTAATGTAAAATTTTTTAAAACCCCCCAATTTTGTATACTACTTTTTCAACCCCGGTTCCTTTCCTAGTTCCTAACAGGGTACCCTATTCTTGGTTCTGGTTTCGGTTTCCGGTTCCAAGAGTGCAGAAACAGGAATCGGAATCGAGGAGTTCGGTTCCTATTTTTAAGAACCGGAACCTATCCTATGAGGTTTGATTCTGGTTCCTACCCATAACTGAGATCCCAGGTACCCACCGGTTCCAGTTCTTACCCCTAATTATAGCCCAAAAAAGATAGAAGATTGAATGGTAAACTTAGAATATGCCATATTGGTTTGAAACAAAATCAAATAGTTAGAATATGACATCATTCTCAAAATTCTCCGTTTTAGAGTAAAAAAGGTCTATGCAAAATAAGGAAATATTTATTGATAAATGAGAAGAGAAAATGAACTAACACTTAGTAAATAGGAGAAATATAACGAGCCTTACCTTCGAAGATAAATATTATCTTTGAAATTTTGTTTTTTTTCCCTATTGTTTGAATCTTTCTATTTTTAATTCTAAAAAAAAATTAATAAATGTCCTAATATATTAACGAAAACTCCCAGGTTAATTTGGATCAAAACCTAATTCCTTACTCCTAATAAGTGTTCTACATAAGAACTATAATTATGAAAGAAATAATAATAGCACAAACAAATTGAGATAACATTCTTATAATTAAAACTAAATCAGCTCCTCTGCAGCCTTCAGAATTTATCTATCTTTGAAATATTTGTCCAAAACTACATGAAGACTGAGAGGATGGTTTATTTAGGCAACTTTATAGGCATGACCTGCAGACATCCAATTTCTTTTAAATTTCATTGTGTAAGGAATGAACGTCTTTTAAATTTTTTAAAGGGATATTATCATAAACTACCTCTAACGTTTGCACTTGTATCATGGGGAGTATGACTTTGCCATTTTTTATCAAAGTTACCCCTAATATGGCTGAATCAATCACGGTGCGGGAGGATCGGCTAAAATGATTGTTGAAGCGTAGCTATGGGTGGTGGTACCAACGAGGCTGGGAAGATGAGTACAAGAGACATCCACATAAGATTGAAGTTATCATTTTGACCATTTCTTTTTCACACCAAGGGTTATCATTGAAATGCTTTTAAAGTGTGAGGGATGACTTTGATAGAAAGTGGTAAAGTCATCCCCCACCAATTGAAACACAAACCTTAAGGGTAGTTTATGATAATATCTCCACCTTCAAATACATTTAAATTTTGGCTTATTATCGGCTACTTCCCTTGAGGTTTCACAAAAATCAAATTTCCCACCAACAGTTTGAGAAACCCGTGGCCACCTCCTCTCAGGTTTCTCAATTGATCAATAACCTCCCTTACATTCTGTTAGGGTTGTTTAAAAAAATTCANAAGAGTGATTTTGATTACAATTGGAATTTGCTTGAAGTAGGCAGGTGCATATGCTGGGGTCAGCAATTGTCCACGCAAAAACCAATCTATCCCCATCCTCTTGAAGCCTCCCAATAAGCAGCACCGTCGCCTCTCTTCCTTATCTTCCTCAAACTAAACAAACAAATGTACTTTCTAAACTAATTCAGTTTCATCAAACAAATTTCAACCCACTTCTCTTTCTCTCTGATGGCTTCCCTCACCATCTCAAACCTCTCTCTCCCATCTTCACTCCCCATCCAAACTCCTCGCACCCCATCTCCTTCCTCCCTTTCCATTCTCTCAAAATCATCACATTCTCAATTTTATGGACTCAATCTCTCTTATTCTTCCACTGTGCCCATCCCATCTTCCACTTCACACAAGACTTCCATTTTTGCTAAGGTACATTGCTCCACCACTTGTACAAATTTTGTCTACTTTCTTAGTTTTGTATTTTGAATGTGAATGTTGCCTTTTTGTAATAGGTTAACAAAGGTCAGGCGCCACCAGCATTCACATTGAAAGATCAGGATGGAAAGAATGTGAGCCTCTCCAAATTTAAGGGGAAGCCTGTGGTTGTCTATTTTTACCCTGCTGATGAGACCCCCGGCTGCACCAAACAGGTTTTGAAAGAAAAAGAAAAAATTAGTTTACCTGTTAATTTCTTTGCATCTTTTTATACTGCTTTTGGTTTTTGATTTATAGGCAATGTAGATAGGGTGTTATGACATGAATTGAATATATGTAATCTTTTCTTTGCCACTCTGCTTGTTCTGGGTTTCTAATTTCCATCAAGTAATTACGAGCATTTATATAATTTCTTTACTTAATCGCTCTGATAAATATTTTGGACCTATTATATCGTGCTCTTATCAATCATTCAGTATTGTTTTCTTTATCTTGATAACCATGTAAATGGTAATATATGTCTTTGTATAAATGAAAACCTGCAATAACTCTTTACAGCCATTGTTACTTTTTAGAATAGTTTTGCTCAGCGTTTGTAATAGCAGTAGTAGAGTATCTGATTTCTATATATACAGAGCAATTAGATTGTTGTGAACTCTGAATATTGTTTATGTAAAGACATGCATTGGACTAAATCATCAACCCCAAGTGACATCTCAATGTAGTATAGAAGCTAAAACAAAGTGATCCTTTTGCAGGCATGTGCTTTCAGGGATTCATATGAGAAATTTAAGAAAGCCGGAGCTCAGGTTGTTGGGATAAGTGGTGATGATCCATCATCACACAAGGTGAGAAAGTAAATTTTATATGGAACAGCTTCAGGATTGAAGGAGTTTCATTCTTTTTCTCGGCTCTGATAAAACCCACATTACATTATAAAATTTCAACTTGTTTAAATATTCTTCCCATTTTGGCTGATTTCTATATAAAGCCATTCATTGAGCCTACCAACTGAGCTAAGTTTTGATGGTAGGCTCAAATGAACTTCTTTGGTGAAACGTCCTAAAATCCTTAATATCCCTGTAGTTTAATAAGTTAATTTCCTATACAAATTAGTAAACCAGACCCAGTAATTTAATGTAACTCTTTCCTCTTTAGTTAATTAAGTGAACCAATTACGTTATTGAATAGCTCTATTTATTCTAACTCTTACCACACTTTTGAATTTAGGCAAGTCGTCTCACATATTCATGGGTGGAGTGCAATTAGGGTTAACATTAGCTACATTTGATTAAGTGGAGCCTTTTTTTCTTCATACTATTATTTTCCACTGATAAGATATATAAGAAATCCTTTGTTACAAAGATTTTGGATCAAACTTCCATCATTAAGTACGATTGCAGATAATAAATAGAGTTTTTTTTATAGGTCATCAGTCACATTGGATATATTGGACAGAAGGTTCAAAAATTGGCCATCTATACATGGTCAGAGTGCCTCATGCAATAACATTTTAGAAATCTAAAAATGTCATATTGAAGGTCCACATAACTAGCTAGCTATATTCTGAAATTTTACAGGACATCCTTGCCACATATGTACATCTCTCACAAATTCTTTTCTTTTGTTTTCCCATTTGCCAAAAAAATGTAATAAGAAAACAAAGCAAGAGGAATGAATCTTGGACCTATCTCGTATTCATCTATGATCAACTCTGTTTCACTTTCGTTTATAATTTGTAAAATTTTCAATCATGCTTGAAGCTGACCAGTATTTGCATGTATGTAGGCATTTGCAAAGAAATACAGACTTCCTTTTACATTGCTGAGTGACGAGGGCAACAAGGTGCGAAAAGACTGGGGAGTGCCTGCAGATCTGTTTGGAACATTGCCTGGGAGACAGACTTACGTTCTTGACAAGAATGGGGTCGTTCAGCTCATCTACAACAACCAGTTCCAACCTGAAAAGCACATTGATGAGACCTTGAAGCTTCTTCAAAGCCTTTGAAACTCTAAATTTGGAATAGTGTCTTGTTTTTCTTCTTGTTACCCTTGTATATTTTTCTCTTGGAGTTATGCAAGTATTTATTCATGTATGATTTAAAATTCTCTGTAATTACCTTAGCTGTAAAAAAAGGGGTTCGACCGCAATTTCGCAAGGAAATCAAACTTCTTCGACATTTATGAGAAATTAAAACGTTTTGTTTCTGATGAACAGGATTTACGTGTGCTGCACATGGCTACTTCATTTTATGACTTTCTGAAAGTAAATGTGAAAAAATTTCAGCTGAACAGGTAATGCAAACAGAGATACATAGACTTTATTCAGAAAAGGGTTGAATTTTGCTACACATATCTGGATCTGTATTTGCTAATAAAAAAGTAAAGAAATTAAAACTTCAAGCATATCTCCCTTTTCTTTTAATATTTTGATGAGCTAAATTATTTATTATTATTATTATTATTATTATTATAGCTCTATTTTTCCAGCTCATAGTCCTGACTGCCATAAGGGCTAAATGCTTCTAATAACCAATTCCTTTTCCTCCAAGTGTTCCATCCCATCTCTTGACATATTTCGTCACCGTGATTGATGCTGAAAGTAGAGATACAATGCCTCTTGTAGAACCTGGTGGACTGCCTCATGACTTCCATCTCTTTTGCTATTTGTTCAAGCATCTGCTCCACACTGGGGAGCTTGAATTTGTTGTCAATTAGTCGAGCCAACCATATGCTCCGTAGCTCAGCAGTGTGAAGGTTTGAAAGGCTTTCAACGTAACCCCCAAAAGCCATGTTTGGTATCAATGGATGGATAGTGCCCCTGCCAGAAGGAGATTGAGCTCACATTAATTACTTTCCAGTTTGAGATTTATTAGTATAAGATTTAGCAATACTTTTGAAAGAAGATGTTTAACGGAGAGTGAGTTACCTGTATAAGGGTATAATGCCTGAAGGATATTCTAACAAGCTACAAAAAGGCTCTGGTAAAATAGCTTTAAGCTTTTTCTTCCCATCGTAACCAGTGGCAAAAATCACAACATCGGCCTCCAATTTAGTGTTGTCATCAAACTCAATGCCACCCTCCCAGAACCACCATTTTGATGTTCTTTTGAACACAATCTTTCCCTTATCAGCCTCAGAGAAGAAATTCTGAGGCATGATAGCCATCTGGCAAGAAGCATAGTCTTCCTCAAATGAGTGATCTGGTTTTAGTCCATATTTGAGCAAAGGAAGCCTCCAAAGCACATAGGACTCAATGAACTTAGATACTCCACGCCTCTGTCAAGAATAATAATATGTTAATAAGTCTAGCATTTTAGAACTTGATCAGTGTACAGTGAAAAAAAAAAAAAAAAGAAAAATATTAGAGAATGCCATAAACTTACAACAGGAGATAATAGGAGGCCAAGGAGAGTCCTGAGAAAGGTTTGGCTTGGTGCTCTGTGCAAAAACTGAGAAAATCTTGTGGAATAGAAGAGGAAGAAGGGCAAACCCCAAACCCAGTAATGGGGGACTGGCCAGTGTGGGGTCCTTACCAACATAGTGCATGGTTTTCCTTCTGCCCCTGAAACAGATTCAGACATAAAATCCCCAAATAATTAATTTTATAGGCAAATTAGTGAGTCTAACTATTAACCTGAATCTCCCCATCTCTCTTCAAACAAATGATTAATTCACTTGACCCGTAAATTAAGATTAAAGGAAACTTAATTTAATGTATTAATGATGAAAGGAAATTAATTGAAATAAAAGGAAACTTAAATTATATTGTAAGACCCGATGGTTTTGTTTGACTAATTGATAGTTCATACTATTATTTTCCTAAGAATAGCCAAAAAAGGAAGGTAGCTGATAGAATTTGAAAAGTTGAATCAAACATGTTTCATGTCTAAAAGTCAAAACATAGATTTTGAAATTCTAATTCGTGTGACTTAGAATGTTGAAAATGAACATGAACATGTGCACTGAAAAAGTCAAAACAGTACCAGATATTTTCATTGTTACTAGTTTGACACTTGACCACGCAATTCCTTGTTAATTTTTCTTGCTTTTTGTGTGACTTTTCATGCAAATTCCAACCTTACAACGTGGAACTTTATATAATTTATAAATATATAGCTGGACTAAGATTTGCTTCACAGTAATATATATCGTTTTGCCACAAGCCACACGTGTTCCAGTAATAAACAAACTAGAGTTGGTAAAATTCTACCCTTCCATGAATTAGGTATTTTATTCAGGGATAATTATAACAATAACAGAGTGTTTGATGAAGACATGAAGCTGAAATGCAAGGAGGAAGAAGAGATAGATAATAGAATTAATTGGAGAAGTTACTAACTGTCATCCATAAATTACCAACCTTGCTTACAATCTATGGATTGCAAACAACTATTTATCGAGAGATCCCTACAGCTTTTTCAAAGTACCAAAAGAATTAAATATAAATCATGCTTTATTATTATATTATGTTCTAAATTGAATACAGCCTAATAGCTAACACAAAAGCCTATATTTTAGTGTAGAGAGGCTTAAACAGTATATGGTTACCTATATAAAACTATGGATAAACTCAATGATATCAATAAAATGTTAAGTTATACCCATACACAAAGACAAAGTATACAAGTAAACCGCTTGTTGGAGTTTAGAAAGTAGAATTGCTGTAAGCCGGAAACAAGACCATGAGAAAAGAGAGGTGAAAAAGTTTAATAATCGATTAATGAATGATTATGATCGCCATTTAACATTTTAATTTGTTCAATAAGATATCAAAGTGGATGGAAATTAATGGTTAACACAATTATTGCCTTTTTAGCTCAATATTCATTGTCAATATCTGTCAAACAGAAAAATTACTTTTCGAAATTAACGTATAGTAGGTATGCCTTTTTTTTTTTTTTTTTAAACCATTGGGGGAGGGGATAACAAATAAAGGTGATGAAACTTCATTTAAAAGTCTTCTGTTAACAGTATATCATTGTGGTAATACAACCACTCATACATGGACTTTTAAAGTCAATAATTTTGATGCAATTAACAAGATGGTATATGAAATATATGTATAAAATTACCTTGATTTGCTTCAGCGCATTCCATAGCTAAATCAATAGCGGATTTCTTGTAGCCAACAACAACCACCCTTTTGCCCTTGAGCAGCTGAGTAGCACCTTCCTTGTCAAGCTTACAGTAATCAAGGCAATGCAAGACCTCCCCCTCAAATGTCTCAGGCCCTTTGTTCCGAGGGAAAGCTGGAATTCTCGGTATGTCACCGTACCTCCCCGTACATACAACCACAAACTCGAATCCATACCACTGAAATCAAACCATCACATTCGTCAGTGCTACTTACTCTTCTATTCTTACAAACCAAAGTAATAACATCCATGCATGCATATACACACCCATCTATGGAGCTACACATACATATATTTATATGCTCGTCAACTTTTGGAGGATAATACTCGAAATTAAAATATTTTGAGAAAAGAGATTTTCTTTAAAAAACAAAACCATGTTGAAAGGCTTTAAAAGAGTATTATAAATATATTTAGAAAGCTAATAACGACCTGAATGGAATCAGAATTGTTAGTTTGCACTGCAACTTCCCAAACAGGATGACCTGGCAAGGGAGTCTCATATTCTCGTGGTTTTTCACCAAAATCAGTGGTTTGTGTGTCGGCAATGAACCGGACACCCACAACTTTCGAATTGAACCTCACACACTTTAAAAAATCAAAGTGTTTTGCATAAGATTCCAGGTAATCCAATATCTCAATATACGAAGGAAAACCAGGATCATCTCTGTTAGGCCATGGAAAATCAGCGAACTCGTAATCACAACGAGCCGACTGGAGCTTAGTAGAGTTGTAAGAACATCCTTTCCACACTCCTCCAATAGAATCCGAGGCCTCAAATACTTTCGGATTATGGTGACGCAGATGTTTAGCGGCTGCTAAACCACTCACACCAGCTCCAATAATGGCTATTTTGGAGACTACAAGATGACTTTGGCTGTTGTTAGCCATGCTTGCTTGGGACAATATGAGTGTTCTTTTGGGTTTTGGCTGAATGAAGAAGTACTTGTGAAATGACTAGCAACTTAAGGGTACTGTATTTATAATGCATGAGATGGGTGATTTTGAAAACACGTGAATGGACTTGGAAAGATTGAAAAGTAAGGGAGGAAAGAGGCAGCAGTTTGGTGAAGGCGAAGGCGAAGGATGACCATTTCTTAATTATTTATTAAGTTTTATGATGTGAAATTGTTTGGTTATTGGGTGGAACTTTCGTATTAATGACAAATGTTAAATTTCTTTGTATCTTCAAAACCCTAAGATAATGAATGTATGCATACACAATCTATGTACCTGTTACAGTTGCCATGCCATGTTATTTTTTTTTTCCAGGAAAAGCAGGCATAACTTAGTTAGACTGATTCCCTTCCAATCTTATATTATATATATGATATTACGGGAAAATTCCACGGATCTCTTATGAGGTTTGATTATTAATTCTAAAAATTATTCTTGAATTCTTCCCATGAGCGTATGCTTCTTGAACATTTCGTCCACAAAACCATTTGGATGAATCCACTGTATGATTAAACCTTAATTAAAGGTTGATATGTATAAATCAATCACATAACATTTCATATTTTAGATAAATATTGAATGCATAAGTATAGAAGAACATATGAAAAGCCAATTTTAATCAATCGAATTGAAAAAAGTTGCAATCAACGATTTCTTACAGAGTGAGAGATTATGGGGGTACGTGGTTCTAGATTCCCTCCTCTTGCTTCGTTTTCTAATCACATTGTGGAAAAATGGGGTCAAGTAAGAAAATATACACATCCTCCATTAAAATTATTGCTTAAATCTATTGCAGGAGGAATTCATTAAGTTTTTCGTACGTGACTCACGACCTATGGGCTATGGAACAACTAACTCTCTATATTTGTTATCTTCAATCGTTCTTAAAAATAAAAACTTTAGAAAAGATTGGCTTTGGGTCAATAATATTTCCTATATTTATGGCCTTTGAAATATAATCATTTTAAAAGATGGGAAACATTAATATTATTATTATTATTATTATTATAATCTAGAAAATAATGCTCTGAAATTATAACAATTATAGATAGTGAGGCTTGGAGATAATATAAAACACCGTATTC